ATGTGTTGCTGGAAGGTTCGGAGCTGAGATCAGTATCGTGATTAGAAGGTAGATTAGGCTGCCAGTCTCGAGGTATTGATTGTGTGGCGAGAAGGTATGTTTAGATGTAGATATTTTGGTCGACTGACTTAATAGCTGCTTTTCAGGATTAGATTTATAATCTTTAATCGAACTCATGTCGTTGACTTTGTCCATGTTGTTCCAGTCTCTGCGTACATGGGTAGATGGTGATTTATGTACGCCAGAGGATTTACATAGCCAGTGAATATTAAGTAACTACTAGAGATTTAGTAATAGTCTGCGTGTCTCCAGCTGCCCTACAGAACTACGTTTCATGTTACTATGAAGTCTCAGTATTGTTGCAGTGGTAGTTTAGGTCGATTAGATTAGTATACTAGTATCGCCCAGGCCGACAAAATATATTCCCCGAGCTGAGACTCACATGGCAAGCCGCCATTGCTCACCAGGCAGTCAAGTAGTCTCGATATTGGATCTGAAACACTACAATGATACTTTGAATAATAAGATCGCAATATTCGATATTGACCAAATAATTATCCCGCTATTCGTAGACAAACTGACTCAATCGTACCTCATATCATTGCAACTTCACGAGAACCTATCCTCCGCCCGTCCTAGATATCGACTACGGATCGCCTGGCTGATTGTACTCATGCGACTGGCCATCCCACCGTGCTGGATGTTGCTCAAGAGTGCTTCCTCAAGTGCGGACTGCGTGACGCTCGCATCTAGACGAGGAGTCAGTATGATATCATGCGCCCAGAAGAGAAGCTCACCATCTAGGTCACTAAAGCTGCTCCCCATACTAGGAGTCCCGTCGCTCGCGTCTCTCCGCAAAGCCATAGACTGTCGCGGACTGAAATGTGCCAGTTCCCCGGTTCTTCTAGGACTCAATGGCCCTCCGCTTTGATTCAACCGTCGCCGTCTGTCAGATTGTGGATGTGCAACTGGGACTCCGGAACTGGCAGAGCTTGCGGACGATTCGGTTGTGACTGATGTTCTAGAAATCGTCTGTGCTGAGGGGCGTCGGTGTGACTCAGAAACATCCTCGGCGTTCATCCTCAACGTAGCATTGAGATCCTGCCCGGACGCTCCGTGGGACGTCCTTTCTGGTTCTGGCAGGAAAGCAGGGGACTCGTCGTCATCCTCATCGTCGTACCTCAGGCTGGCCCTATGCGTGGAGAATTTGCCGAAAGGGGGCTTGAATCGCAGGCCATGACGACTTCCAAACCCGTTGTCGTCGTCAGATTCGGACTCAGATGAGCTAGGGGTCGTATCATCTTCCAGAGGAGGGGATTTCGCAGTCGAAGGAGCTGCAGCTTGCTCTCTTTTACCTGCAGCTGGTCGATTGGCATAGCTTTCTCGCTTAGGTTCTCTTGGCTCCACCACAGGGGTATCGTTGCGGACTGGTTCACGGGCAGTTTTGAGTTGATTAACGGTGGTTGTTGAGCTGGTGCGTCGGGGGATGGGAGCTAGAATGTCCACATTAATATTACAGGATACAGGCATAGAGGCTGAATTAAACTTGCCACGCTGTGGAAGAGTATCTTTCTGCTGCGTCGAGAGGCGCGACGGAGCTCGAGGGCCTTTGGCTGTCAGAAAACTCAAGGGACATTATCGGAGGACACTCACCTGCATTGATGGCACCTTTTGTCTGTTGACCCAGCGCCGTGCTACCCGTCACCGAACCAGGAGCAGGAGATGTAGACGTCGACTGAGTGGTGGGCACTCTACTCATCTGTGCACGTACTTGTGACAGCTGCCGATCGTAGAGCCATGCTGCCTGTTGAAGGAGAAACTGCAGTGTTACATCAAAATGATCTGCCCTGCAGAGTTGATCAGTGATGCCTTAATACTCGATAAGACCAATCGTACAGTGCTTTCCCTGTGGTACTGTCAGCATTTCTGAATATCATCAGACCATCATTAGGCACCATCATTACAGTCTAAATCATCACCCTTGGAAGGGCGCGAGAGGATATTCCAGAGAGCCTGGTCTTTGGCAGCGTTCCATTCAACCTGTCTTGTCAGCGAGATGGAGATCAGTTGACTAGCGGCACTTACCGGAGAAGGATCCACAAAGTCACCCCTGGGGAAGGGAAGGCGAATAAACACGGTGAACTTGGTTTCTCCAGACTGATTGAAGGATGTCATCGCGGTGACCCGTATATGCGTACGTAGAACTACTTAAATACTCCAGGCGGTACACCTAAATCATCAGAAGAATAATACAGATGACCTTTGCTGCTACCTAGCAGTTAGCTTAGTGGGTGCCGGGGTGGATGTGATGAATGCGGAGGGATTGAAGTGTCACGCCGCCACCGTCAGGGTCGGTGCGTTGCGATAACAGCTCAGCTTATACAGACTGCGATATGGGCTGCCAGTTGCTAATTCCACCCTATTGCCACGGCCGCACCCAAGAACTCACGTGACAGCTTCATCACAGGGTTATCTCTTTCCTATTTGGGGTGAGACAGCCTGATCGATGGCAACTCGCCCGATGGACTTCTCCAGCATGAAGTGTATCGGCTTATGCGAATCAGCATTTCATAGCATGGTTGAGCTGGTTGAGCTAGTTGAGCACCCGATGGAGGTCTCCCAACTTTCCCACTGAGGCAGGAATATATAGACGGGATAGGATGCAGTTATCCATTACGCGTTGATCGTGCAGTTCGACTTATAGAGCATGTGAGCTATATGCATGCGCTATTATGACATATAAGGAGCATATTGTACGAGCAAGTTATACCCAGAACTTCAGTAAAAGCCTTTTACCGCCCCATCAGACAGGGTCCAAACTCTTGGCGCAATTTAGGCCGGGTTAACGTGAGCCAACGAATGTCCAACAGACCTCCAGCAGTCTAATAACCCTAGTACGTCAGTGCTTCAGCCTACAGCATACTCCGCAACAGGTAGCATATGCGTCGTCACTAGCACTGCTGAAGCGCTTTTTTGGATAATGCAGTCTGACAATGCGAACAATGACGCGGTCAGGTTTGCAGCCTAGACTACCTGCGAGTCGGAGTCTGATGGATATATCTGCCTCAAAGACCGACCCAATGTGACGCATATAAGTAGGAGTTGTACTCGCAGTTGCGATTCCATCTTCATCTAAAATCCCATTCTCATCTTGCGTTCTACTGCATCAATATAGCAACAATGGCTGGTCCAGTCCCTAAACCAGAGTCCCTTCTGGGCTTCCATCAGGTTTTGTCACCCACTGGTGGCATCAAAGTGTCTCCGCTATGCCTGGGTACTATGAATTTTGGAACAACCTGGTCAGCCAATCCTCTTGCTTACAATAAAATAACGATTCACTGACACCCCGTAGGGAACCATACATGGGCGAATGCAGCAAGGAAGAATCCTTCGCAATCATGAACACCTTTTTCGATCACGGTGGAAACTTCATCGACACGTGTGTTGAATTAGCATACATCAGCTCTTTCGACGAGCGACAGGCTTATAATCTCTAGTGCCAACGTTTACCAGGACGGACAATCCGAACAATGGATTGGAGAATGGATGAAGAAACGTGGGAATCGAGACCAGATGGTGTAAGTACACACCCTTTATTATCAGGTTGCTACATCTTGGTATGCTCTATATTGACAATGACAGCATCGCAACCAAATACACGACCGGGTTCCGCCGCACACATATATCCACTGAGCCCATCCAATCGAACTTCGTCGGAAATTCCGTGAAGTCCATGAATCTGTCCGTCAAGAACAGTCTCGAAAAGCTTCAAACTGACTACATTGACATTCTCTATGTGCACTGGTGGGACTTTACCACCAGCGTGGAGGAAGTCATGCATGGCCTGAACGCACTCGTCTTGGCCGGGAAGGTCCTCTATTTGGGTGTCTCTGGTACTCCTGCTTGGCTGGTAGTTAAGGCAAATGCCTACGCGCGCGCGAACGGACTCAGACCATTCTCTGTCTATCAGGGCAAGTGGAATGCTGGATTCAGAGATATAGAAACGGAGATTGTGCCCATGTGTCGGGACCAGGGGATGGCAATCGCGCCTTTTGCAGTGCTAGGCCAGGCGAAGTTCAGACCTGCAGAGCAGCGCAACGCGGAGTACAAGGGCTCTGGACGAGCGGCACTACGGGGCGAAGAAGATGACAAGGTTTCTGATGTGTTGGAGGCTGTTGCCAAGCGGAATGGGACAAATCTCTATGCTATTGTGAGTTTCACCCTTACCTATACCCATATTCTGCATCACGTATGGAGACAATTGAACTGACATATCTCTTTTAGGCACTCGCATGGGTTCGCTTCAAGGCACCCTACGTCTTCCCCATTATTGGCCAACGGAGCGCAGCGCATATGAAAGCCAACATTGAAGCTCTGAGCCTGGATTTGTCGAAGGAGGATATGGATGAGATTGATAAGGCCATTAAGTTCAATCCTGCCTTCCCACTGGACTACCTCCTCGCCGAGAATTTCAGTACCGCGTTTACTGCAGCAGATGTGCAATTGACGAAGTGGACCGCGCATATCGATGCTCCTACTCCTGTGATGCCGGTCAGACCACGTAAGGATTTGTGAATTAAATGAGGGGTTGTTGTGGGTGCTTCATCTGCTATTGATGCTATGAGAGGATAATAAAATCAGTGTCATTATAGAGGTTACTGGACAGTCCGCGAGCTTGATCTCAGGTGTGGATAGGCCAATATAGTCAGACATTAAGTTGTCTAGACGAATATCGAGTGCGCTAGTATACATAACATGTTTCTAGTTCCTAACATGTCTTCCACACCTGGGAATATGTGTATTAAGAGTGGGGTGACCCCTAGGGAAGCAGAATCAACAGAATATTCGTACATGGTTGCATCAAAATCTGCTCAAATGTTCTTTCTCTAGCGACAAGGATTCTCAGGTTTCTCTACTACATACGCTCTTGCACCTGCTCTTCCTAGTAGGCGGCACATTACGAAGCCCTAATATTGTTGACCATCTTAGAATATGATGAAGAAGACACTGATCATTCTTTGATTTTAGACATCTAGATGAGGTTTGGAGAAATTTTAGTAATCGAAATGGTACACACAGGGATCGTTGCATATTTCAAGGTTTCATCCCCAATTCACTGTGAAAATTTGGACTCTGCCTGTCACTGTCAACGGCCACACCCAATATGGCTGTGGGTATTCACTGAAAGCCCACATGCCCTGGGAAAAAAATATTCATGGCTATCCCTCCATCCCAAGTGTTCTTCCTTGCTTCCTTTCTTCCTTCCCCAAGCCATTTCGAGTTGCTTTCTGTTCAGACTTTACACACGTGCCTTCATCTTTCTGCCGGCTCAACCGTCAACATGCCTGTCGAAGAAGGTGCAAGCGGCCCCAAGCATCTCAATAGCTCTGAGTTGCTCAAGAAGATCGACAAGCTGCGAGAGAAAAACATTGGAAAACATGTGCCTCTTCCGCAGGTAAGACTCTGCCACCTCCAGAAACCGTCTACAAGTGATACTAATCTCATCAAGTTGGTTGTCGTTGGAGACCAGAGTTCAGGGAAATCATCTCTTCTGGCAAGCCTGACCAAGATTCCATTCCCTCGTGATATGGAACTTTGTACGCGATATGCCACGCAGATAACCTCCCGTCGTGAGGACGATCGCTCGGTTGAGATTTCGATAATCCCTGCTGTGGATGCATCCGCGGAGCACAGGGCAAAAGTACAGGGCTTTAAGAAGACCCTCAGAGGTACCGAGGACTTTCGCTCAGAATTCCCAACAATTCTTCAGGAGGTCCGGCTAGCCCAAAATTATATGTGTCTTTGACAAAGGCTAACATACCGAATAGGTCGACGTGTGTATGGGAATCCGTTCAGACCTTTCATCTAAGGAGGGATCAGTCTTCAGCAAAGACGTGCTCCGGATTGAGCTATGCGGGCCAGAAGAGGGCTACCTGACCGTCATAGATGTACCGGGGATCTTCAGAGACCCGACTGAGGGCATCACTACTGACAGTGATATTGAGCTAGTTCGAGATATGGTCAAGAGCTATATCGCAGATGCCCGCACTGTGATCTTGGCTGTGCTCCCGAGCAATGTCGATCTTGCAACCCAGGAGATCCTCAAGCTGGCTAAAGATTATGACGAAAATGGAGAACGTACCCTTGGTGTGCTGACCAAACCCGATTTGGTGATTGAGCAAAGCGCTAAGGCAGCTCTGTGCTCACTGGTCCTGGGGCACAAGAGACCGCTGGCACTGGGATACTACTTGGTGAGAAACCAGGGCGCCGATAAAAACACTTCTTTCGATGGCGAGGAAGGAGAGAGAATGTTTGACAGCCAGCCTTGGAGTTCCTTGCCGAGAGACCGTATTGGCATCCAGGCCCTACGAGAACGGCTAGCAGAACTACTGAGCGAAGTTACGGAGCGCGAATTCCCTGAATTGCGTAAAGACATCAAAAATCAGATTGATACATGCCATCAAGATCTGGACCGCCTGGGACCTGCACGCCAGACTGAACAGGAACAGCGTGCATTTCTGAGTGGTATAGCTCGCCAGTTTCAGATCCTCGCACGAGCTGCACGTGATGCTCATTATACAGAAAATGAAGCATTTGCAGAGAGCGACCTCAGGCTTCTCACGCACATTGTCAATTTTTCTGATAGATTCAGCTCAACTTTCCGGGCCAAAGCCCATCTTTACCCATTCGACTGCCCTACCTCAGATGCAGCCGACAATGACCAAGCAGACAACGGCACGAGCAACAAACCGCACGGGAAGAGTCAAGGCGATAAATGGGGTCCAAGGTGGAAAGCCAACATGCACGCCCAGCCGACAGCCGAAGATCGCTTTTCTTTGGCTCAAAATCCAAGCGAAACCTGCAAAGGCCTGGACCCTAGCAACTTCCCGGAGTTAGAGCCGATTGTCAGCCACCTGGAGGGCCCCGAAGATCCTAAAGGGGATATCAAAGCTTGGATTGAAGTGTTATATTCTAATTCTCGTGGTCTTGATCTTGGGACCTTTGGTAACAACATTTTCTGCAACGCTTTCAAGGAGCAGACCGGCAAATGGGAAGCCATGACCCGCGAGCACGTGAGTAATGTCATCATGGTAGTTCACCGTTTTCTGAGTACAGCATTGGGAAAGATTTGCGGAAGCAAACAGCTCTATAACAAAATTTGGTCCAGCATTCTCGATGAACTTCTGAAAAGATACGAGAAGGCCATGTCCCAGGCGCTGTTCCTTTTGTCGGTTGAAAGAAATCGCCGACCATATACACTGAACAATTATTTTAATCAGACCCTTCAGCAACTGCGCAGCGCCCGTGTAGCTCAGGCATTAGAGGACAATGCTAGAGTTGACAGGGACGCTTGGACTACCGGATCAGCGAAGATAGTCGATCTGGATGCTGTCAAGAAGACTGCTAGCGACCAGGGGAATGTGGAACATATCACTGGGGAAATCCATGACATCCTGTGGTCCTACTACCAAGTCGCACGCGAAAGATTTGTGGATAATGTCCACATGCAAGCAATCGAGCATTGTCTTCTGACCGGTCCTGAGAGCCCCCTTGAAGTTTTTAGCCAGGAATGGGTGATCAATCTGGAGCCGGAAGAGCTGGCAGCAATCGCGGGTGAATCGCAGGCGACCAAAGCACGGCGTACCGGCCTGAAGCAAAAGATGGAGGATTTGAAGTCTGCTCTACAAACCTTGAAATTCTGACATTTTGAGATTTTGATGTTCTTTCAAGCTAATAATCCTGTTCTTATGTGAACTAATCCGCAGTAATAGTAATAATACCCATAACAATATGACTTGACAGTGTTATTCTGACCTAGTGATGCACAATATTGAAAGGGAAGACTCGTATGCGGATGGATGAAAGAGGAATGAGCCGAGAACCGGGGATGGTGCGTCATAAGCCGAAGGCGGTGAAATGCCCCTCCCGTTGAGAAAAGTGAAGTTCAACACATTCCACCAGACCATCTGTACCAACCTATCTACCTGCAGAATGCCAAATCTGTAGATTGATTTTGTCACCGCGGAATAGCTATCAGTGCGTGCTAACTTGTTGGGAAACGCTAATCCCTCAGCTCACAGGTGGTGGGCTGGAATTCACCAGTTGCGATACTTATCGCACCCCGTGCTCCGAACTACCCGGCATATGTCAGAATACACCAGAACACAAACATTTCGAGCTTTCTCCTGATTTCCCTCGCGTTCTCCGTCGTCGATCGCCTGTCCTCTGGCTGCAATAAGCAGATTGCTTTTGCAGAGCTGTTGTGGTTCCCAAATCCTCTCCGTCGTTCACCTTTCCGCACCAACCTTTGTCCCGTCCCAGCCTTCGCCTGCACCGATGCAATAGAACTGTTCGGACGCATTGATAGAAATTGAGATTTGTATAAATTTGCTGGGCTCGCATTCCAGTCGCATAGCAGTGGACAATTGCTCCACCGTTCAGTATGACATCCGCTCCGACGCCAGAGATGACGCCCGCCGAGGCCGAGTCGGTCTACTTCAACAACTACCCCCCGCCCAAAGCCCTCCCGAAGCATGAAGCCCTCGCTCGAGCTTTTGTCGATTACCACGTCCAAGCAAACCGACGCCTTGTCCTGGTGACATCGGGGGGCACCACAGTTCCTCTTGGTTCGTGGGATGGCTCGTGCACGTGAGAAAGATTTCTGACCGTTGTACAGAGAACCAGACTGTCCGCTTCATTGACAACTTCAGCGCGGGCACGCGAGGTGCTGTGTCGGCAGAATACTTTCTTCAGGAGGGATATGCGGTGATCTTCCTACACCGGCAGTTCAGTCTGCTGCCATACTCGCGGCATTACAGCCACTCGACCAATTGCTTCCTGGATTTCATGGATGAGGAGGAACCGGTGCCTGATGCGACAGAGACCAGCGAGTCGGATCACCGGCCGATCAAGGTGCGCAGTGAGTACCAGGACCAGATGCGCGATGTGTTGCGAAAGTATCGTTATGCGAAGCGCAACAACCTCCTGTTGCTACTCCCGTTCACCACGATCTCGGAGTATCTGTTTGAACTACGGTCGCTGGCTCAGCTAATGAAGCCATTGGGCCCAAATGCGCTGTTCTACCTGGCCGCTGCCGTCAGCGATTTCTTTATTCCCAGCGACCGCATGTCGGAGCACAAGATCCAGTCGTCAGAGCTGCCGGACAATCTAACCAAGGACCAGGCAGTTGGCTCGTCCGACATTTACACGGGCGGAATCGAGCCGCAACCCCCGTCGCGTAGTAAGAAATTGATCATTGATCTGGACCCGGTGCCAAAGTTTTTACATCGCTTGGTCAATGGGTGGGCGCCGGATGGCAGTATGATTGTGTCGTTCAAACTTGAAACGGACCCCAACCTACTCGTATACAAGGCGCAGACGGCACTGCAGCGGTATGCGCACCATCTAGTGATTGGAAACTTGTTGACAACGCGCAAATGGGAGGTGGTGTTTGTCACCCCGGACCCCCCGCACGAGCGCTGGATCCGGGTGCCGAAGTCGCGGCGCAGCAAGAGCATTTCTGGCAGCGAGGCGCAGGTTGGTTTGGCTGAGGCCAAGCGGGCGGGGGAGTCCGCAAAGGCAGAAACCGGTGGGGGCGGGCAGAGTCAGAGACCGTTGGAAGACGAGGCCATCTCGGCTGAGGGAGTGGAGATCGAAAGTTTGATCATCCCTGAGTTGGTCAAGTTGCATTCGAACAAGATTGCTAAACACAACGCTCAGTCCTAGACATGGTTGTTGAGGATTTTGGGTCGAGACACGAAGTCTGGCGTGCGAATGGACTCACTCCAAACGTTCCGACTGAAAGGAAGTTTCAAGTGTGCGTTTCTGGAAGCATGACGAATGCAGCTAATCCTGAGGCAGGAGGGTCTTCTCCAGATAGATTAATAGGGGTCCTTCACTCTTTCTACTGTGTAAACCGGAGGTTCCTGTGTAGTTAGTTTGTTAGCGTAGGAGATGAATCATCTGCCGTGTCTCAACCACCATGTTCAAAATGTAACAGTAGTGCTGCTGTCAGATTTAAACAATCAGTCCCGTCCAAGGGGCCAAAATCCTTAACTCACACACACACACATTCCGGCCCCCCCTTCTTCGTTTCTCGCTTCTCCTTCATCCATTAAGGGAATCTCCCAAGTTCATCCCTTCTCCTCTCTTCCCCCCCTTAACGCAAGAAACCGCAAACATGATGTGATGGATCGACTGGGATTTTGATTTTGATTCTCTCAAGGGATCCGCAGCACGCACAAATCATGGATCAGCAACCTCGGGAGTTCTCAACTTCTGACAGCTTCACCGGCTGACGGGTCGTCAGGGGCGGGTTTCAGGTTTGCAGCTCCTCAGCAATCCATGGTTAGGCGCCGCGAAGACCCCAAACTAAGCGATGGATCAAGCTCCATTCTCCAGTCAGACGGTACCATTCCGATGCTAACGCGTCATCGACAGCTTAGGAGCCCTCCAGATCGCCGGCCAGCGTGGGCCGATCTTCGCCCGTCTACGTGCCTTCCTACGTCGCCATCTCTACGCCCTCTTGTGTGTCCGAACAATAATAATAACCATAACGTGCCTGGTGTCGATCTCGGGGATTTGCTTCCTCGATTTCTTTTTTCCCCTGTTGCTCCTCCTCCTTTCTCCCCTCTCCTCTCTCCCCTCCACCGCCAGGGGACCCCGATCCCTTTGTCTCAGCCTCCTCCGTTCCTGCTTGTCCCCAGGAATTTCCCCGCCGGCAAATAACGACCGAGTGCATTTCACCCGAAATATTCTTCGTTATTGGCGCACAGTGACAACGAAAGATGCATTGACACCTTGGATCAGTCTGGAGGATTGCTCGATAATAATTTCTTTGCTTGTTTCAAGTCTCTATTGCATTCAGCGTCTCGATCCCGCTCCGCTGCAGGTCGGCGACCGCTTCCATCCCAGCCAATTTGAACTTCCCCTCACCGCGCGCTTCCTCAACAATGGCAATCCGTCGATTTCGTCGCATCACCATCCTCGCCTCCCTCTTGGGTGTATTCCTCCTCTACCACTTTCTCTCCATCCGCCCAGAGCTCTACACCCGCAGCGCTACCCAGCTCCGCACTCCGCAGAGCACCCCGCAGAGCGCTCCAAATGAGCCTCCCGAATGTCCCCCTCTCGAGGGGATCGAAGATGTCCTGGTGGTCATGAAGACAGGTGTCACCGAAGCCCTCGACAAAGTCCCCGTTCACTTCCAAACAACGCTGCGCTGCGTCCCTAACTACATTATCTTCTCGGATTTCGAAGAAGAAATCGAAGGCGTCAAAATCCATGACGCTCTCCGCACAATGGACAGCACTGTCCGAGACACCGTTGCCGACTTCAACCTCTACAATCGTCTCCGCGAACAAGGTCGCGCCGGTCTCGAATCGGCCGACTTCGCTGACGAGGCCAACTCCAACATCGGCAAGCCCAACAACCCGGGCTGGAAGCTCGACAAATGGAAATTCCTCCCTATGGTGCAGCAGGCCCTCACTTATAAGAACAATGCCAAATGGTATGTCTTCATGGAGGCAGATACCTATTTCTCGTGGCCGACACTCCTCGAGTGGCTTTCGCATTTCGATCCAAAAGAACCCCACTACATCGGCACTGAGACTCAGATCGCAGACGTCATCTTTGCGCATGGCGGTTCCGGCTTCGTTGTCTCCAACCCAGCCATGCAACTCGCCTCGAACGAGTACGCAACCCGTACCGTAGAGCTGAACGAATACACCGACTGGCATTGGGCTGGCGATTGTGTTCTGGGCAAGGTTCTCGCTGACGCCGGTGTCCCCTTGCGCTACTCATGGCCGATCCTCCAGAACTCCAACGTCGGAGAACTGGACGAATTTGCCAAGGGCTTCTACCGCAAGCCATGGTGTTTCCCCGCAGTAGCATTCCACCACCTGACATCTCACGAGATCCGGGATCTCTACGAGTTCGAGAAACGCCGACGTCAACAGGTGAGCCCATCTCCATACCCCTGTAACCCAGCATACCCCTGCTAACACACAACCCCTCCACATCCAGACTACCAGCAACGTCCTCCTCCACCGCGACGTCTTTAAAGAACTCATCTACCCCGAGCTCTCGAACGTCCGCGACAGCTGGGACAACCTCTCCGACGAAGAACACCCCGCCATCACCGACTTCCACGAATGCAAAACCCTCTGCTCCAGCTCGCGAAGCTGCGCGCAATTCGTCATGCGCGACGGCGTTTGCTTCACGGGCGAAACGCCCCGACTGGGAGTCAGAAACCCTACAGCCCGATCTGGCTGGATCCTAAGCACAATCGAGCACATGATGGATCACGCACCGCGGTGTCCTCATCCTGACTTTGGACTTTGAACGTGCTTCTTTCTTTCCTTATTTTTCTTCCTCTGCCCCCTCATCTCCACCTTGAATTTCGCGGGACGAATATTCCGTTTATTGGCCTTTCTCCTTTTAAAAACAAAACCCACAATACTCAGATTACCTGATTCATGTGTGTTGTATAACTATGGATTTGATTGGTTGAGTTTGCTGCTAGCGCAGTAGCATGCATCGTTGATTCGCATCGCATCGGCATACATGTAAATGTATGCTGAAATGGCGTTTGGGAGAGGAGTCGGTGGTATTTCTTTCCGTCCTGTCTTGTCATTGAGCCTCTGCTTCTTTATCCCCTTGCATCAATACCATGGCGTCTGGAACTGTCGGTACTTTCGTTTCTCCTTTTTTATTTCACTTGACTTATGTGTCAGCGTTTTAAGCCAGCATGCAAGCTAGCGTATATATGCTAGCTTGTCACGGGTGTTTAGCTAGACCAAATCGGAAAAGATCATGAGACTAAGATGGTCGTGGCTCGTAGATCTCGGATTTCATTCTTGGCAGAGTAGCTACATGTTCCAGGGGTTTGCCGGATTAACATTGTCTTGGAAGTACGCTTGTGGATTCGAGCTGACTACTTTTGAACGACGACATTTACAACGGTTAAAATAACAGCAACAATAACCTCTCATAGTGATGCCTAAGAAAATGGATCTGTGACAAAGCAGAGGAGCCAACAGAGGACAGAAACTAGGAGGAGAAAGGCATGAACACGTGAGTCAAGGGGCTGCAATCTTTAGAGGGGGGGCTTGTGGATCTTCTAGGCATTGGTCAATGCGCATAATCGTCGCGTTCATGCTCTTCACAAATCGAATGACCTCACGGAAGTATTGAACCGTCGTCGGACTGAGATAATGCATGACAGCCAGATTGCCCCCGCGTTTCACATCTCGAATAAAGGCCTCGCGCTGCTTTTCGGGGGTTTTCGTGTCCGCCCACAGCCAATCCTCAATATCCACACTCCAATTGATGATCTGGGGATCCTTGATATATTTTGCCAGCCGTTGACGGGTTCTCGCACCAAGTGTGCCGTAAGGAGGGCGGAAATAGCGACCTGTCAGTAGTCAGCGAAGCTCTGCAATGATAACTAAGATTTGCGCACTCTCAATCCCAAGGATCTGTCGAAACGACTTGATATTGTCCACAATCTCTCGATCAATAGCTTCAACGGATTCCAACCCTTCCAATCTGTATTGCTTTATCGTCAGTACTCCACTGCAGCCAGATAATAGAGAACCACTCACTTTCGATGCGTGTCCGAGTGTAGAGCTACCTGATGTCCTCGCTTCAACATCTCTCCATAGACGCTTGAGAAATTGGTCTCCAGATCTCTCAATCCCAATCCTACCACGAAGAATGTGACCAGAATATTCTCCTCCTCGAGTATCTTCATCACTTCCTGAGCAAACTTCGGTTGCCCATCGTCTATTCCAAACGCAAACGATCCGGGTCGGGAGCATCTCAGTAGCACACGACCATTGTCCACGCGACGTGGGATCGGAAACCCAGCGGGTACACTACCAGCATTGACAAGTTCAACTTTGAAGAGAGTAACCGCTCCAGGCGAGTAGAAGCCGTTGAAAGAAACTGACACGGCTCGGGAGTGATCAATGTAGAAATGCCAGAGAGGAATGTATATGTCGTTTCCGCGTGCATATCGGGCGGCCTCGACAGAGTCCCAGGTTTCAGGAAACGGACTGCGGGTGGAGTCGCAATGGATGTTATTCTGGGTAAGGGAAACGCTGAAGTTGGTATGACCGGTGAATTGAAGATGTAAGTAGTGGGTTGTCCTGTAGGGTAGAAGGTTGAAGCATGTTGCTGGTGAGAGCTGCGTATTGTAGTTATGGTCGGGATCTGTTGGGTAGAAGCGGACGTAGTTGCGGCCATAGTCAATTTTGAGTCCTTCTAAGCCACCGTGCCAGAAGCCTAGGGTGTTGTGATGTGAGTTATTGAAGGTATCAATGATTATAGGAGCGGTGAGATTGTAGGGGGTGCCAGTGGTATTACTGCTAGTTGTGTTGCTTGGGAAGAAGACATGAGTAGCAGCTGAGGTGACGAAGGTTATAAGTATAAGGAGGATGACGGGTCGCTTGCAGGTCACCATGATTGCGTTCAATCCTGAATATGGCCCACGGCTACTAGTACCTGTAGTGTAGGTTCAGCGTTGCGGAATCTCCAGGGCATGTGTCATCTAAGTCTACGTGAGAGAGCGAAGTTATCTACCGGTTGGCTGCTGTCTACCCGAGGAAAGAGCAAGTTGGTGCATCCGAAAGGAAAGCGCATACCTAGGACCTCTAGCTCGCTGAAGCAAAGAAAGACTTTTAGTAGATCAATTACCATTATGTTATGTCTCCGTACAGCAGGGAAACGACATTGCTTGCCACGCTCCCACCCTGCCTCCCAACATGACCCGCAGTTGGTTGGATCCATCAGGTAGCCCAGATCCCTTGTATCCTTCCACAAGGACAATCGTTTCCGAGCTTCTGTGATATCCCAAGGCAAGAGGTAGGCTGCAAAGAGTCTCTGTGCCATGGAGTCAACAATTGGACACCAGATCCTGTCTGGGTGAAACATGATATGATCTCTAAAAAGAGAAGAGAAAAGAAAACAGACGCAATCATCGAAC